TAATGATTGTTTCAGTTTGGGGCAGCTTTACTCCATTGTGGTGTCTTTATTCCAAACTGGAGCAACTCAGAGTATGAGCATCCGTTACTGTCCAAATGTGCGTATTTATCTCATTGTTGTTATTCACGGGTGGGAGTTCCACTGTCAGACCAGACTGAACCCTCTCACTCTCCCTGTAGTAACACGGAATTATAGCGAGTGCTTGTGGGACGAAAGTTTGGTGGGTTACGTGTACATTACACAAGGGAATGACCTTGTTGTGATTATAAAATGAACTCTGTGTAATACCCAGTTGTGGCTGCTCAGGTTACCCACATTTAACAATTATTGTGCTGTGGATGGGAGTGAGTGTCTGGAAGGGTTTTAAGTAAAAGTTTATCAGAATTATTGGCTATGATTGTTTGTCTTACAGTAGTGACTAGGGGCCCCAGCTGAGACTGTGGCCCAGGTGTGTTGGGCACTGTACATATGGGCAGTGGGTGAACCCTGCCCCTTCTGCCAGAGGCCCCACGGCAGCCAAGGCCCCCGCACCGTAGGGGCAGGCCCCCAGTCCTCCCGTATGAGTTGCATGTGGCCCCAGCCTCCCCAGTCCCAGAGTATGGGAAGGACAGGCGGCCACAGTCTCCCTGACCCCGGAGCAGGGGAAGGTGAGCGGTGTGCAGCCCCGCGGCCCCAGCCTCACGAGACTGGAGGGAGCTGCGCTGAAGCGGGGCAGGGCGGGGGGGTGGGGAGAGGGAGGGCTGGGGATGGAGTGTGGGCGGGGCCACATCTGGCATTGCCTTCCCTTGTCTCTTATACCTGCTGCCCATGGCTGTACACACATTGTAGGAGACAGTCTGTGACCTGCAGAGTTTACAGTCTAAACGGGCAACACAGACAAAGGGTGAGAGAGGAAACAGAGACACAGAGACTTGCCGAAGTTCACGCACAGCTCAGTAGCAAAGGCAGGACTAGAACCCCTGTCCCTTGACTCTCAGTCCACTGCACTATCCACCAGGCAACCCGACCTCTCATTTATTATTGTTCTAGCTTATAGAAAAGGAGTACTTGTGGCACCTTAGAGACTAACCAATTTATTTGAGCATGAGCTTTCGTGAGCTACAGCTCACTTCATGTGCATTTTCTTCATATTCTCTACCAATCGTGGGGAGCCGCTACATAATCCTGCAGTTTCCTGAGCAGGGACAAGGGACTGGTTCTCCCTTTGATGAACACAGACAATGCCTCTCACCACACACACTGCACAGCAGGGACAAAGGGTTGAATCAGAAGAGCCTCTGGAAGGAGATGAGCACTGCTAAACTGATGGGCAGGGGAGGCCAAACTCTTCCACTACTTTCACTTACAAAGCTAATTGGAAACATATTTGTGACCCCCCTTGGGGTTTAGAGAGCATGGCCCCTTCAAACCTGTCCTGGGGCAGAGGAAGTGCTGGGTCTTCCAGGGGAGGAGAGTGGAGAGAGGGAGGGACGGGGTGTGTGTGTCTGTAGATCTGGACAAGAGGGCTACAGCGAGAGGCCCTCGAACAATGACAGCAGCCAAAAACTTGCCAAAAGCCCAGGAAGGACAGAGCAGCCGACTGGGGACATCACAGGACGGGAGCCATGAGGAGCACTGTGCCAGGTAGGACTCCCCTGAGAAGGACAAACCAGAGCGGGTCCCAGGATCCCTGTCACCCAGAGCTGTATGGGGCTGTGATACTGGGGCTTGGGACTCTGTACTGGGAATAAGGAGGGAGGCTGTTAGCTAGTTAAGTGGGGAGGTGGTCGCTCTGTGGGGTTTGCAGAGAGCGGCAGAAGAGGGCACTGGAGGCGTTTGTTGGGGAATGTTCACTGGCGCCGAAGATGAGCAGAAGCACCCAAGTCTCATAGCTGCACCGGAATTCTGCCCAGGACCCCTGAACTCTGAGTGTGGACCCAGCGCCTGGCATCTACGCTTTCATGTTGTGGTACCACTGGGCACGTGGGGCCTCGTGTTGGATCTAAGCGTGTTTTCTCCTCCCGCATCTTCTCCCTGTTGTTCTTCTACCTTCATCCCTCTGTAAATACATATTTCCCCATCCTATCTTTGCTCTACTATTCCCATGGGTGTGCGTTGACACCGGAGGTTTTGGAACAGGCAGGGACACCCCTTGCCTGTCAATCGTGCGTGCATGTGGGGGGCGGGGCGGGGGGGGGGGTCAGGGTGATGGCAGCTGGCTTCAGCAGTATTACTGAGCAAGCTCAGTCCATGTCAGCATACTCATTACAAGCCAGGCAGCAAATCTGGGGGAGCATGTGACCCCCTATGCCCTACCACCACCACCAACCATCTGTGCCCTGGGGAAGGGAGTTACCCCGCTGCGCTCCAGTTCACGCTGTTCTTGGCGGGAGCCGCTCTGCAGAACAGACTCTATCTCGGCCACAACGATTCTAGTTACATTTTATTAAGATGATGCTAAAATAAAAATAAAATGGTACAGAGTTTAAGCGTAGAAGTTTCTGCTTATCAGGGAATAACATACAGATTATCAATGGGTGTGAAGTTCGGTTTAGGATCAGATGGCGTAAGGAATACATAATCTGCAATATCCCCAATTGGGGGTAAAAGGTTAACGGGTCAAAGTACAGACATTGAGATATGAGGGTATGTTGTTCATTGTTAGGATATAGATATTCAGGCCTGTCTGTAAAGGCCTGTACTCTAAGAATTTAGGTGTATTCTTATCACTTGGCTAGTTATAGAGGTATAAAAGAAAGAATCACTTTAGATAAGCTATTACCAGCAGGACAGTGGGGTGGGAGGAGGTATTGTTTCATATTCTCTGTGTGTATATAAAGTCTGCTGCAGTTTCCACGGTATGCATCCGATGAAGTGAGCTGTAGCTCACGAAAGCTCATGCTCAAATAAATTGGTTAGTCTCTAAGGTGCCACAAGTACTCCTTTTCTTTTTGCGAATACAGACTAACACGGCTGTTACTCTGAAACCTGTCTGCCACTGTAAGATCCTTCTCTTACTGTGACAATCTGAGGCCTTGTTCTTAGGCTAAGGCCTTTGGCTAAGCAACAGAGGCAGCCATAAGCTGGGAAGCGAGGGGTCACCTCCTCACATTCCAACCTAGTCACATTGAAAGAAGGTGCTATTGGGCTGTTAGGAATACAATCCTGTCCTGATAATGCCTATCGCCTCCAGAGAAAGAGAAGTGCCTAGAAGATGTAAAAGGAAACTTAGTTTGATAGCATCCTGTCTGGCAAGAACTCACTTATCAATAGCTGGAATGTGAAATCCTCACTTCTGTATTGTCTTGTCATTATAGTTCCCACTTTGCTATTGTTTGTCTGCATAATCTCTCTCTGGTTCTGTGATTGTTCCTGTCTGCTATATAATTAATTTTGCTGGGTATAAACTAATTTAGGTGGTGGGATATAATTGGTTACATAATCATGTTACAAAATGTTAGGATTGGTTAGTTAAATTTCACGAAAATGATTGGTTAAGGTATAGCAAAGCAGAACTCAAGTTTTACTATATAGTCTGCAGTCAATCAGGAAGTGGGTGGGTGTGTGGGTGGGGGGAATGGGAACAGGGAATGGGGGTGAGGAAATTGGAATCATGTTTGGCTAAGGGAAGGAATGGGAACAGGGACACAGGTGTAAGGCTCTGTGGGGTCAGAGCTGAGAAGGGGGACACTAAGGAAGGAAACTGGAATCATGCTTGCTGGAAGTTCACCTCAATAAACATCGAATTGTTTGCACCTTTGGACTTCGGGTATTGTTGCTCTCTGTTCATGCGAGAAGGACCAGGGAAGTAAGTGGGTGAAGGAATAAGCCCCCTAACATTCATATAATAGCTATGTTCAGGTGTGGAGTATAACGATGATGAGGACGGATTTACCCTCATTTGGTGAGATTTAATGTTCAGTGAGTTTATGGTTCCAGTTCATATGGTCCAATGGAAAAAGTCTCTCGGTTACTAAAGCCGACAAAATACTTGCCAATGCAGAATTACGGTTGCCCAGCAGGACCTGGTGCCTTTCCAAAATGCAGAGGTGGCTAAACTTAAACTCCTAAAACCCAAGAGATATAAAGTAACGGCACACACCACCCCAGCCCTGCCACCTGGACGCTGTCTCCTGGGGCTGGCAATAAGCTCTGGGAATGATTCAGTGAGGGTGGTGCCACAACACACAGGCATGACAGAGACCGTGTTCGGAATCACTGTAGTGACTGGGGGAGGGATAAATTCAAGCTGGCTGGCAGAGCGTCACTGCGATATGAGGAGAGGTGCATGCACCTTGAGGGATCACGTATGTGTCTCATTTCAGTGCTGAGGTCTGTAGGCTGTGTCAGTAGAAGTGCACAGAGGTGTCTTCTTGCCACGCCATGGGGATTGTCAGCAGTCTGGTGTTCGTTGCACCTGACCTAAACCTCATGTCACGGTTACAGACCTAGCTAGACATGTGCCCTTGCTGGTCTCTCTGGCATCTTCAAAGGTCCTGCCTTTACCAGTCCTGGGGAGCGGGGGGAATTCCTCAATTCTCCCCTTCTTATACCAGGCTCTGGGCTACAGAACTCTGTGTATCAACCACTGTTACCCTGTGGGTGCCAGACACAAGCCGAGATCAATCCCAGCTGTCTGGCCCCAGGTGTGCACAAAATTGTCTGGCCCCGGGTGTGCATAAAAAAGTGGTACTAACCACAACATGCCCATATCACCAGACTTTTTATTGGTGTTTGTGTATCTCATTAATTCCTTGCTCCAATGAACTCAGTCTTAGCCCACTAACCCTGTCCCAGACTCCAATGTGTCTCAGAAAATTTCAAAACAATCGGAGTAAGTTTCTGGATTTTAGAGCCCTTAGAAAAAACAGCTGTTAAATAGTGAGCTAGAATAAACCTTAACCAGAGCAGAGCTACTGCCCCACTACAATGAGACATATCAGGTGGCATCTCACAATGACCCCCCTGACTCCTTTTATTACCCTGCTGAAGACGTCAAAGTATCAGAACAAGTCACTGACCTGCCACCTGCAGTTCCAATAAAGCGTCTTCGTAAGAGGCACTGGACTGAAAATAACAACTGTACTGCCCATCATCGGAGGGTCGGACATCCCGTATTCTCAGGGAAACTCTCCCACTGGTGATGTCGTCTTTCAAGAGCTCAGTTCTGCCTCGGTATTCCAGCATCTGCTCTCCGTACTGATCCTGCCCATCACGATACAGGTGCACCACTGCAGAGTCCCGGGATCGTAACCATCCCACCTCCATGTTCTCAGCACTCATCCTGGGGGAGAGGTGGCAGGGCAGGACGGCCTCCCCACCTAGGGAGGCAGTGACTGGATGGTCAGGTCCAGTCACTGTGAACTGTGCTGTGAAATGAGTCAGGGCAAAAAGAAAATTAAATTGGAGAGGAACCAAGACAGACAGGAATGTTAGTGCAGCAGGAGGCGTATCGTATTGCCAACTTTGAAGTCTTCAAAAATCAGGAGATAGCCCCCCACCCAAATTATGAGATTGGCTTAAAAATAAAGAGATTTTTAAAAAATCATAGGTTTCAGAGTAACAGCCGTGTTAGTCTGTATTCGCAAAAAGAAACGGAGGACTTGTGGCACCTTAGGGACTAACCAATTTATTTGAGCATAAGCTTTTGTGAGCTACAGCTCACTTCATCGGATGCATACTGTGGAAAGTGTAGAAGATCTTTTTATACACACAAAGCATGAAAAAATCCCTCCCCCCACCCCACTCTCCTGCTGGTAATAGCTTATCTAAAGTGATCACTCTCCTTACAATGTGTATGATAATCAAGGTGGGCCATTTCCAGCACAAATTCAGGGTTTAACAAGAACGTCTGGGGTGGGTGGGATAGGAAAAAACAAGGGGAAATAGGTTACCTTGCATAATGACTTAGCTACTCCCAGTCTCTATTCAAGCCTAAGTTAATTGTATCCAATTTGCAAATGAATTCCAATTCAGCAGTCTCTCGCTGGAGTCTGGATTTGAAATTTTTCTGTTGTAATATCGCAACTTTCATGTCTGTAATCGCATGACCAGAGAGATTGAAGTGTTCTCCGACTGGTTTATTCTGGTCATGCAAATTGGATACAATTAACTTAGGCTTGAATAGAGACTGGGAGTGGCTAAGTCATTATGCAAGGTAACCTATTTCCCCTTGTTTTTTCCTACCCCACCCACCCCAGACGTTCTTGTTAAACCCTGGATTTGTGCTGGAAATGGCCCACCTTGGTTATCATACACATTGTAAGGAGAGTGATCACTTTAGATAAGCTATTACCAGCAGGAGAGTGGGTGGGAGGAGGTATTTTTTCATGCTTTGTGTGTATAAAAAGATCTACACTTTCCACAGTATGCATCCGATGAAGTGAGCTGTAGCTCACGAAAGCTTATGCTCAAATAAATTGGTTAGTCTCTAAGGTGCCACAAGTACTCCTTTTCTTTTTAAAAAATCATAAAATCGGTCTCTGCCTTCTGATTTCTGAACCTTTAAAGATGACTTGGGTCACATTTCCAAGTATTTATCTTCACCAAGATGGCCAGAAACGTACTTTAAAACAAAATGAAAGCTGAGTTTCTCAGCTAATCACAGGCCTCCGGGAGCTGTGGCTTTAAGAACCCGTCAAATAGCATGAGACTTGTGACAAAGTTCTGTGAGCTGGTAACACTGAGGAGACATCTACACTTTGAGCTGGAGGTGTAATTTCCAGTGTGGGGAGACATGCACCCACCAGCTTTGACTGAGCTTGCGTGAGAAAGCGTAGTCGTGCTGGTGTGAGCGGGGGGATGGGCTATCTCCCCAGGTATGATCCTGCCCAGGACCCTAGGTACATATTCAAGGAGGCTTCTCATGCTACTGTGTCTACTCTGCCATTTATGGCACAACACCTTGATCAGAGCTAGTGCAGGTATGTCCACCCCATCTGGAGACAGCAAGGAGCAACATCTTACATATTAAAGGCTTCGACAGTGCTAACTAATGGCTTCATGGTGAGGGAAGGGGAGGGAGAGCTGGAATGTTGGAGGGGAAGGGGGGCTACACGTTGTGAGGGATGGTGGGGCAGGGGGTGGAGAAGGAGTCAGACTCAGCAGTTTTCTCTCACACTTACAGTCACTGTAAGCACCAGGGAACTGTCGAGATGCTGGGACATGGACTGTGTCTCCAATTTCTTGAACCAGCCCTGTTAGCAACTACACACTCTAAACCCTTCAAAGCACAACCATTACCCCCATTGCACTGTAACAAAATGTACAGGCAGGGCGAGGAGTGCTGAGGAATGACATAGCAACCTTGTGGCCTAGTGGAGAGACCACTGGACTGGGACTATTCCTGGCTCTTCCACTGGCCTGCTGGTGATCTTGGGCAAGTCTCTTCACTGCTCTGTGCCTCAGTTTCCCCATCTGTAAAATGGGGATAATGAATAAAGTTCCTTGAGCTCTATTGATCAAAACTATTATATAAAAGCTAGGGCTTTATGTTATTATCTAGCCACAGTCATATATCAACTGCAAATCTAAGTGAGGACTACAACTGCCTAAATGACCATTAATGTCTACTACTCTTTCTGTTCAAGAAACTAGGAAAGACACAGACAAAAATCTTTGCTAATGCAAAGTTAAGGTTCCCAGAGGTATTTCAGGTCCTTCCAGAAAACAGTTCAGCAAAACTCAGGGCTCTGAACACCAGCCAATGCAAAGTTAATGTACAGGCCAAAGCAACCTTAACTCTGCCCTCCTGAGAGATGATCCAATACACCACCTCACACAGACCTGCACTCTGCCTGCACAGATAAGGCACATCACTCAGGGATCAGGGCATATGACAACTGTAGCACAGAGTCAAATGCCTTCTCCTTGCTAAGCCTCGGTCTACACTGGGGGGGGGGGGGGAAATCAATGTATGGTAGTCAACTTCAGCTATGAGAATAACGTAGCTGAAGTCAACGTACCTAGATCGACTTACCGCAGCGTCTTCACGGCAGTGAGTCGACTGCCGCCGCTCCCCCATCGACTCTGCTTGTGCCTCTCACAGCGCTGGAATTCTGGAGTCGACGGGAGAGCGCTCGGGGATCAATTTATTGCGTCTAGACTAGACCCGATCCAGCGGGTAGTGTAGAAAACTTGTTTTTAGGGGAGCTGCTCTGAACAGGAGCTACCAACCCTGTTCTACACTGAGCTACTGCCCAGAAACAGCCCCACACTTGTCACATTTTACAAGCCCTTCATCCCTTTTAACAGCCCCTTCACCCTCACTCTGCGTCAATGAAGGTTTTTGTCAGTGAATGTGCCAGGTGGCAGGAGGAGCACGGGAGTGGTGGGGACACACTCTCGCACTAGCAGGAAGGGGCAGAGAGGAGGCTGGTGCTAGATTAAAGAAGGACCATAAGGGAAGTGGAGACACCAGATCTAGGGGAGAAATCCAGGCCCCACTGAAGTCAATGGGAGTTCTCACCCAGGGGTTTGGCTGGCAGGAGTCCATCGGACAGCGTTAGGAGGAGGGATATTCTGGGTGTGCCCTGAGCTGCAGGGGTGTCCAGTGTGGGTGACCCTGGAAGGGGTGACATGGTCACTTCTCTCTGTATGTGTGAGGAGCTTCAGGGCAGCAGAGCTCTGTGTGAGAACAGGCAGCAAACCCAGTGAGGAGGCCAGTGTTCCTACCTGACGCTAGCCTGTGAACCTGTAGAGTGAGGCAGAGAGCGACGTAGCCGGGCAGAGTGGAGCTCACTGTGGAGCTGGGGGAGAACGAGGGAACCTTCCCCGTCATCGTAGCTGGGTCTAGGTACAGAAGAAACAAACAAAATCAGACATGCAGTGACTGGCACAAGGGTTAGCCCACCCTGGTGTGCATGTCTGCCCAGACGCACAAATTCACTCCAGCATGGATCCTTCAGGAGATGCTGAATCTGATTGCTGGGGGAGAGGGGGGTGGAGTGAAGAGTTTGTGCAGGCAGAGCCTGAACCAGCAAAAGAAACACTGATATCTATGCCAAAATCGCACAGGGCATGGTGGATAAGGGCTACACCAAGGACATGCAGCAGTGATACGTGGAAGTAAAGGAGCTTAGACAATCGTACCACAGGACAAGGCTAGCGAACAGCCACTCTGGTTCCGAGCCACAGACATGGGAGACTAACGATATGCACCCATAACCACCTGCAACAATGTTTTCATCCCATGAGGCATTGGGACCCTAGCCCAGAATTCCAATCTGCAGCAGGGACTGTGGGATAGCTACCCACAGTGCATCACTCCTTGAGTTGATGCAACCCCTGGCAGTGAGGATGTGCTCCATCGACCACAGCCACCTAGTGGGGACATGCAAAATAGCATTTGTGAAATCGGATGCTCAAAGTCGAATTAAATAAAATCGACCTAATTTTGTAGTGTAGACATGCCCTTATATTTGACAGTCTCTTAGATGGTAATAAATTATGGGAAGATGGTGACCTGAAGAACAGCTCCGTGTGTCTCGAAAGCTGGTTGGTCCAATAAAAGATGTTATCTCTCCCCCCGTCTCACTAATATCCTGGGACCGACATGGCATGCGTGTTAATAACTGCTTTGTGAGGAAAAGAGAAGTTACTGACATAGGCCAACTCTCTTGTTGTTCTTGCTGCTGTTGATAAAGTCCAGTCATGTTTGCTAAGAAGACAAAACAAAACAAATGCACACAGAAGGGGAGAGACAACCGGAGTGTCTCTCCGGAGCTTCTATCTTGAGCGCTGCCCCTCACTTGCAATTTCACTGCTGGAGAAACACAAGCCCAGCACGTGGTGGGACCTGGGCTCTGAGACCTGGCAACTTGTCCCAGCAGCAAGCTGTTTAGAGCATTGCTTTTAGCTGCCTCTCTCATAACCAGGGCTGTCTTTAGGATTTATGGGGCCCTATGCAGGATTATAAAATGGTGCCCCAGTGTGTCGGGGGGGCACAGCCCCTGGACAAAACCTGCTCGGGGGCCGGGTTGTGCCAAGGCAGCCCACTTGTCCCACAGGCAGAGCCCCTCGGCTGCTGGCCAGAGCCGGTCCCCCGCAGACTGTGTGAAGAGAGAGCGAGGCCAGGTGAGCGGAGTGAACCCGCCGTGACTCATGACTGTGCTCCCTTCTCTCTTGGCTCAGCCCGGCTCCTCCACCCACCTCCACGTACCTCCGACCAGCTGATTTTTGCAGGCCCAGCACTGCTGACACCCAGCTTTGGCCAGCAGGGAGCAGGGACGGGACAGACGGCTGGCAGCACATGTGCAGACAGGCCTGCTCCCCCTCCTGCACCCCTAATCCCTGCACCCTTTACTGCTAACCCCTGCGTCCCCCTCCTGCACCCCTAATCCCTGCACCCTTTACTGCTAACCCGTGCGTCCCCCTCCTGCACCCCTAATCCCTGCACCCTTTACTGCTAACCCCTGCGTCCCCCTCCTGCACCCCTAATCCCTGCACCCTTTACTGCTAACCCCTGTTAGGATATAGATATTCAGGCCTGTCTGTAAAGGCCTATACTCTAAGAATTTAGGTGTATTCCTATCACTTGGCTAGTTAGAGGTATAAAAGAAAGAATCAAAATCACTGTCTGCCAGTGTAAGGACCTTCTCTTACTGTGACAGTCTGAGGCCCTGTTCTTAGGCTAAGGCCTTTGGCTAAGCAGCAGAGGCAGCCATAAGCTGGGAAGTGAATGGTCACATCCTCACATTCCAAACTAGTCACATTGAAATAAGGTGCTATTGGGCTGTTAGGAATTTAATCTTGTCCTTATAGTGCCTATCACCTCCAGAGAAAGGGAAGTGCCTAGAAGCTGTAAAAGGAAATTGAGGTTGATAGTTTTCTGTCTGGTAAGAACTCACTTATCAATAGACACAGCTGGGAAACTCTTATGTCTTTACAGATGTAGTTGTGAAATCCTCACTTCTGTATTGTTTTGTCATTATAGTTCCCACTTTGCTATTGTTTATTGGCATGGTCTCTGTCTGGTTCTGTGATTGCTTCTGTCTGCTGTATAATTAATTTTGCTGGGTGTAAACTAATTAAGGTGGTGGGATATAATTGGTTAGCTAATCCATGTTAGGATTGGTTAGTTAAATTTTAGTAGAATGATTGGTTAAGGTATAGCTAAGAATATTACTATATAAATTAGGGGCAAACAGGAAGTAAGTTGGGATTCGAAAATAAGGAAAAAGGAACTTGTATTTAGCTTGCTGGAAGTTCACCCCAATAAACATCGAATTGTTTGCACCTTCGGACTTCGGGTATTGTTGCTCTCTGTTCATGCGAGAAGAACCAGGGAAGTGGGAGAGTGAAGGAATAAGCCCCCTAACAACCCCTGCGTCCCCCTCCTGCACCCCTAATCCCTGCACCCTTTACTGCTAACCCCTGCGTCCCCCTCCTGCACCCCTAATCCCTGCACCCTTTACTGCTAACCCCTGCGTCCCCCTCCTGCACCCCTAATCCCTGCACCCTTTACTGCTAACCCCTGCGTCCCCCTCCTGCACCCCTAATCCCTGCACCCTTTACTGCTAACCCCTGCATCCCCCTCCTGCACCTATGTGGGGAAACTGACCTGGATGCACAAAGCAGCTGGCATTGCTGCTCACTCCCCCCCAGGACTGCTGCTCCTCTGCCCCACGCATCCCTAGGGGGCTGTGATGGGAGAAGCAAGGAGCAACATCAGGGCTCTCTGCATCCAGGTCACTTTCCCCGCCTGGGCTGCATAAGTGGAGAGCAGAGAGCAGCAGCTCCTGATGCCTCCTAGCACAGCCCAGGTGGGGAAAGTGATCTGGATGCAGGGGGCCTGTCTGTGTGTGTGTGTGTGTGTGAGAGAGAGAGAGAGAGAGAGAGAAACCAGCTCACAAAGCTGGCCAACACACCAGCCATGTGCTGCCCCCACTAAGAGGGAACCATCCCATTATCCATCACATTTTCTCATAGGAACTACCAGGGTTTGCATTACATTTTTGCATGAAACTGGGGAGAATTTAAAAACTATTTAAAACATTAAAAAAAATATAAAATATGAAAAATTCTATTACATTGTATTTACAGTATCGTTATTCATACTAGACTTGCTAGTCCTCCCCTCCCCCTCGCCCCCTCAGGCAGAGAGGCACAGAGATTAGGATCAGGACCAGCTGTGCCCCCAAAAGACCAGGCCAACCCTCCAAACTGGACCCGACCCACATCCCTCCCCAGACCAAACTGGACCTGACCTTCCCTAAACCAGGGGTGCTGGTGGGGGGATGGGGAAGGGGGAACTGGGTCTCCACCAGGGTTGCTGGTGAGGGCAATGTGGGAGGGGGAACTGGGTCTCCCCCAGGAGTACTGGTGGGGGGGATGGGTCAGGGGGAATTGGGTCTCTGCCAGGGGTGCTGGTGGGGCTGATGGGGCAGAGGGAACTGGGTCTCCTGCAGGGGCGCTGGTGGGGGTAGTTGGTAGTTGAGGGTGCTGGTTCCTCTGCATGGAAGCCAGGCTGTCACAAGGCCCAACCTCGCTTGCCCTGTCTTCTTTGTTTCTCCATTCCAGCAGAGCTCTGTGTCTGTGTACCCTGCTCTTCCTAACCTAACCCTGACACCTCTCCTCTTTGCTCTCAAGACACAGCAATGTTGTGCTCCCATGTTCAGCTTCCTCTGCAGCTAGGTGTTAATATTTAGCCATTGTGGTTTCCATTGTCTCTGTAGGGTATGCCATTCCAGTGTGTTGATTCTAGCTCAGAAAGTCCTAGCAGCTCTATGTCTGAGATACCTACCTTCATCTACCATGTCCCAGGGAGAAAATCAATTCTTTCCCTCAATGGATAGTGCTGCCAAGGTGATAGGTACAGAGTCGTAGATAGTTCATAAAAATATGACAGACAATTCCCACTTTGTCACATCTCTTTCCCCTTTGACATCAAACTGAGCGAGATCTCTTCAACCAGTGACTTGGGAATGTTCATATCTCCTGCTACCTTGGAACTCAGATGCCTTCCAAGTCCAGGTAAAACCACAGATGTTTTCCATAGATGCCAAAACCAATTTCCCATCCATATGGTAACTTTTCTACCAGGCAATTTCAAGATTCTTACAGCACAGACTTTCATTACTCAAACAGACTGTTTTCATAACAGAGTTCAGAGCAGTTTCACAACCTTCCTTGGGTCTTATCTTTGGGATGACACGAGCAGGGTGAACATGGGGAGTTTTCAAGGGCCTCCTTCCACCCCAATGCCTTGAGGGTTGAAACCGAGACAGGAACCTGCCACTATCCCCTCCCACTCATCTTCCAGGGAGTGAGGAGAGCCGTGAACCCACCTTCCTCCATATGTCAGCCAACTTGGCTGCAGCCTTGGGGTGTCTTTACCCCTTGGTTGGGGTAGGGAGTGACCCTCTGAGTATTTGGGAGGATCGGAGTAGGGAAAATGCTCAGATGCAGAAAAATATGCACCTGTAAACTGTTACTGCAAAAATTTAGGCACCAAGTGATTGTAGGCACTGCAGGGTTTGGCCGCAGTTGAGTAGGGTTTTGTGAATCCCAGTGTGTCCTGATTCTGGGATTTTTTTCTAGGTACTTAAAGTGACAGGCACCTAAGTCCTCTAATGAATCCATCCAGTGGTAAGGAAGGGGAGTCACACACGGCCAATAACATCACTTAAGGAAGGTTTCAGAGGAACAGCCGTGTTAGTCTGTATTCGCAAAAAGAAAAGGAGTACTTGTGGCACCTTAGAGACTAACCAATTTATTTGATCATGAGCTTTCGTGAGCTACAGCTCACTTCATCAGATGCATACCGTGGAAACTGCAGCAGACTTTATATATACACAGAGAATATGAAACAATACCTCCTCCCACCCCACTGTCCTGCTGGGAATAGCTTATCTAAAGTGATCAACAGGTGGGCCATTTCCAGCACAAATCCAGGTTTTCTCACCCTCCACCCCCCCACACAAATTCACTCTCCTGCTGGTGCTAGCCCATCCAAAGTGACAACTCTTTACATAATCAAGTCGGGCTATTTCCTGCATAAATCCAGGTTGCCAATTGTGCCCACATATCTATTCAGGGGACACCATCACAGGGCATAATAACATCAGCCACACTATCAGAGGCTCGTTCACCTGCACATCCACCAATGTGATATATGCCATCATGTGCCAGCAATGCCCCTCTGCCATGTACATTGGTCAAACTGGACAGTCTCTACGTAAAAGAATAAATGGACACAAATCAGATGTCAAGAATTATAACATTCATAAACCAGTCGGAGAACACTTCAATCTCTCTGGTCACGCAATCACAGACATGAAGGTCGCTATCTTAAAACAAAAAAACTTCAAATCCAGACTCCAGCGAGAAACTGCTGAATTGGAATTCATTTGCAAATTGGATACTATTAATTTAGGCTTAAATAGAGACTGGGAGTGGCTAAGTCATTATGCAAGGTAGCCTGTTTCCTCTTGTTTTTTCCTACCCCCCCCCTCCCCCAGATGTTCTGGTTTAACTTGGATTTAAACTTGGAGAGTGGTCAGTTTAGATGAGCTATTACCAGCAGGAGAGTGAGTTTGTGTGTGTATGGGGGTGGGGGGGATGTGAGAAAACCTGGATTTATGCAGGAAATAGCCCGACTTGATTATGTAAAGAGTTGTCACTTTGGATGGGCTAGCACCAGCAGGAGAGTGAATTTGTGTGGGGGGGTGGAGGGTGAGAAAACCTGGATTTGTGCTGGAAATGGCCCACCTGTTGATCACTTTAGATAAGCTATTACCAGCAGGACAGTGGGGTGGGAGGAGGTATTGTTTCATATTCTCTGTGTGTATATAAAGTCTGCTGCAGTTTCCACGGTATGCATCTGATGAAGTGAGCTGTAGCTCACGAAAGCTCATGCTCAAATAAATTGGTTAGTCTCTAAGGTGCCACAAGTACTCCTTTTCTTATCACTTAAGGAAGCGATTCACTAACTACAGCTCACATCAGGCAGCAAAATAGCAAGAGCAAATGAGCTCTACTGCAGGGCCCCAGGCTCTGCTAAAGCACAATGAACCAGGAAAGGGAAAAACCGTCTCTCAATCTTCAGGCTAGAAGCTCTGAGGGGCAGAGACTCTGCCTCATTGTACGACTGGAATGGACTAAGCACACTGTGGAGTTACCAAAACCAAACACTTACTGACCATCACGTGTGTGCGTTTCTGCAGCCAAATTTACACTCCAAGTGTGGGAGCAGCAGTTTACCCCTGACAGACCTGGGAGAGGGGTCCTGGGACACTGACCGTTCATCTGAGTGTGTGTGTGGTTGAGGAAATACCAAAGGAGTCTAGTTCCAGCACTGGAAGATCCCTTACCTGCTGAGTCCTGCAGGGACACTTCCTCCAAGCGGACTCAGGGTCCTTCAAAGCTCTCAGTTTTTCTAGCATCCATGAGTTCGTGTTTCCTGTGAAACCTCCCTTTGCTGAGGCAGTTTCATCCATTCAGCACAGGAGTCACAGCCAGGGAGTTTCACTCTGTCCTGTTCATTCGTGGCTTTTGTTAATTTACTGCACTTGTAACTGAATGTCCGGTTTCTGCTGCTCCCACCAGCTGCAGAAATGAAAGTAACAAGATAGCTGGGAAGTTATCGTAACAGGAATCCTTGTCATGTGCTGCGTAAAGTACAAGGATCAAAGTCCACGTAAAGAAACATCCCCAGCAGTGCTAGTGAGTGACAGATTTGGAGCCGACCCACTCACTTTGGCAGGTGACACTCAGCTCTGCCCTGTTTTTTCCTGCTCTCTGAGAATCAGTAACATAAAAAGAAATTGCATGTAAAGCCACCGTCCTCCAAGGTTTTCGTCTCCTGGGGGTGAGGGAAAGAAAGCCTCACATTTTCCTGATTGTGAGGGGTGTGGCAGAGCCAGGCACTGCACAGACTCTCAGCTAGAGACCTGGGGTAATTGATGAGTTTTCTTGTGCAACCAAAATACAACAGATTGTCCGAGCCCCAGGCCATTATCCCTTCATGCAGCTGCACAGTCTGGGACATTGCTGGCCTGGCAGGGCCTCTGGGGGTGAGAGTTCTCTCACACCCCATGTCCAGGGGATGCCTGGCCTGTCTGCTGAGACTTCCAGACAACACCTGCACCAGCACGAGTCATGACGGTGGACTTTGTGCTGTGGACACCAGTTCCCTAGGTCGACTAAGCTCCACTGAACTGTGCTGAGTCACTGACCATTTATAATGAAGGGTTGTGTTGTCGCAGGCCAGAGCAACTGAACCCATTCAGACTATCCCAAAGCAAAGGAAAGATAGGAAGACTAGTAAGAAGGTACTCTGCAATCCTCTGCCAAAGGTTCCTTGGGAGGGCTGCTCTGTTTCTTCCCCCATGATAGGAAACTTTGCCACACCAATTGGTAAATACTTCTGCAGGCACCACAGCAGCACATAAGCAAGCAGCATATGGACACGGCCTGCAGTCGCACGCACAGAGGAGCTTCACCCTTGCATCCTCAGTTACTCTCATGAGTGAAATAAGCTACTGGAAAACAATGCCAGTATTCAGAACAGTGTCTTGTAGTGATAACTCATTTGGATCAAGGGTGAGAATGCACTCACAATAATGCCTCTGTGTCTTGTTTCTTTAGTATCTGCAGATGTGTCCTTGAGGTCTCCTCCTGTACACCAGCAGAGCGGCTCCATTTGATAAGGATACAAAACAAGAGAAATAAGGAAAAGATGTTCCAGGAGGTGCTGCAATTCTCAGGTGCTTCGGATTGTAAGCAGAGAGCATAGGGAGAAGCTATCAATGGAAAAACTGTGAATGGATAGTCAGGATAGGAAACAGGCAGGCGCACAGGAGGAAACTTCTTTGTCTTAGCATCACAAATGTTATTCGGAGCACACAGGTGCTATGACAATGGGAATATTTTTCTCACTGAAGTCTAATCTGCCAAAAGGCAGCGCCAGTGCCTCTTTAAGCAACCAAAGACACATTCAACAGTCATTCTGCACCTGCTGTGCCTGTTGTTGAAGCACTCATTGCTGCAGACTTCAAAGTTCCCAGTGTAAGGCTTCATGAGCCAGAGAAGCAAGGAATAGGCTGGGTCTCCAAGGTTCACAATTGGCATTTCCATATCGCCAATGGGAATCTTCTGGTCTGGAAAGAAAGTCCCTGTTTGCAGCTTTCTGTACTGGCCAGCGTTCCTGACGATGCATGTTTCATGCACCTTCCCAGAGCAGCCTGCATTAATGTTGGTGAAACAACCCTGGTATTCCACCAGTGCTTGCAATACCATAGAGAAGTACCCCTTTGTGTTGATGTACTCCATCACAAGGTGGTCTGGGGCCAAAATGGGGATGTGTGTTCAATCTATCGCCCACCGCAATCAGGGAATCCCATTGCTGCAAAACCACCTGCTATTTCACATAAATTACCCAGAGTCACAGTCCTTTGTAGCAGGAGGTGATTAATATTTGGGGGAGGTGATTAACAAGCAGGAGGTGATAAACTTGCCTCATTGCAACCCCCACAGTGGACTTCCCAACTCCAAACTGATTTGTGACTGATTGGTAGCAGTCTGGAGTAGCCAGCTTCCACACAGTGATCGTCATTCCCTTCTCCACTATTAGGGCATCACCCATTTTGGTGTCCTGTCTCTGGAGGGCAGGGGCAAGCAGAGGTGCTGGACAATTTGTATAATGGGGGTGCTGAGAGTCATTGAACCAAACTGTAAACCCTGTAGATGATGGAAGCCACTTCAAGCTGGGGGTTCCTGCCGCACCCTCAGTATCCCTGGTAGCAGCACCTTTCCAGGCATCAGCTCCAGTCATTGGAATTCATTGAGATTCAGCAGACTCCTGCTCTCAGAAATCTCCTTCCTTGTAGGTCCCAACAGCCCACAACTTTGAAAACTGCCACTGAGCACTCCCTGGCCATCTACCCTTTGTTTTATCCTCAACAATGGAACATTAACTTTACTAAAACATCAGAGTCACCTAAGTGAACAAGTAGCAGGCACGTGGGCTTGCATGTTCCAGGCTCTGTGCATGAAGCGCATTTGGGTTGTGCAGCTAGAGTAACATGCATGCCCTCATGCCCGTCATGCAGGTCCTGAATACACGGGAACGCCAGGCAGGCAGAGCGGGGCAATGGAGCTCAAGGGACAGAATAAAAGGTCTGACAGGCTGGATGCAGCCTGCAGACCGTAGCTTGCCCACTCCTGGTCTACACTGACCACTGCATCATTCTAACTAGGTCGCCCTAAGCACTACGCCTCTTGTCAAGGTGGTTTTATTATGTTGGGGTTGCAGGAGAACATAAGAACGGCCATACTGGGTCAGACCAAAGGCCCATCTAGCCCAGTAGCCTGTCTTATGATAGTGCCCAATGCTGGTGCTCCAGAGGGAATGAACAGAACAATAATCATTGTGATCCATCTCCTGTCACTCATTCCCAGCTTCTGACAAACACAGGCTAAGGACACCATCCCTGCCCATCCTGGCTAATAGCTATTGATGGACCTATCCTCCATGAATTTATCTAGTTCTTTTTTGAATCCTGTTATGGTTTTGACCTTCACAACATCATCTGGCAAGGAGATCCACAGGTTGACTATGCGTTGTGTGAAGAAATACTTCCTTTTATTTGTTTTAAACCTGCTAACTATTAATTTCATTTGGTGACCCTAGTTCTTCTGTTATGAGAAGTAATAAATGACACTTCCTTATACTTTCTCTACACCAGTCATAATTTTATAGACCTCAATCATATCTCCCCTTAGCCATCTCTTCTCCAAGCTGAAAAGTCCCAGTCTTATTAATCTCTCCTCATAGGGAAACTGTCCCACACCACAAACTGTCCCACCACACACTGTCCCATAATTTTTGGTTTCAGAGTAGCAGCCGTGTTAGTCTGTATTCGCAAAAAGAAAAGGAGTACTTGTGGCACCTTAGAGACTAACCAATTTATTTGAGCATAAGCTTTCGTGAGCTACAGCATCCGATGAAGTGAACTGTAGCTCACGAAAGTTTATGCTCAAATAAATTGGTTAGTCTCTAAGGTGCCACAAGTACTCCTTTTCTTTTTGCTAATAATTTTTGTTGCCCTTTTCTGAACCTTTTCCAATTCCAATATATCTTTTTTGAGATGGGGCGACCACATCTGCGCACAGTATTCAAGATGTGGCTATACTATGGATTTATATAGCGGCAACATGATATTTTCTGTCCTATTATCTATCACTTTCTTAATTATTCCCAGCATTCTGTTCACTTTTCTTACTGCTGCTGTACATTGAGTGGATGTTTTCAGAGAACTATCCACAATGACTTCAAGATCTCTTTCTTGAGTGATGACAGCTAAGTTAGACTTCATCATTTTATATGTATAGTTGGGATTATGCTTTCCAATATACATTACTTTGTATTTATCAACATTAAATTTCATCTGCCATTTTGTTGCCCAGACACCCAGTTTTGAGAGATCCTTTTGTAGCTCATCACAGTCTGTCTGGGTCTTAACGATCTTTAGTAATTTTGTATCATCTGAAAATTTTACCACCTCACTGTTTACCCCATTTTCCAGATCATTTATGAATATGTTGAATAGGACTGGTCCCAGAACAGACCGCTGGCGGACACTACTATTTATCTCTCTCAATTCTGAAAACTGACCCTTTATACCTACCCTTTGTTTCCTGTCTTTTAACCAGTTACCAATCCATCAGAGCACCTTCCTTCTTATGCTGAGCAGCTTACCTGCTTAAGAGCCTTTGGTGAGGGACCTTGTCAAAGGCTTTCTGAAAATCTAAGTACACTATATCCACTGGATCACCTTTGTCCACATGCTTGTTGACCCCCTCAAAGAATTCTAGTAGATTGGTGAGGCATGATTTTCCTTTACTATAACCATGTTGACTCTTACTTAATAAATTAAATTAATCTATATGTCTGACAATATTGCTCTTTATTATAGTTTCAACCAGTTTTCCCAGTACTGAAGTCAGGCTTACAGGCCTGTAATTGCCGGGATCACCTCTGGAGCTCTTTTTAAAAATTGGCATCGCATTAGCTATCCTCCAGTAATCTGGTACATAAGATGATTTAAATGATAAGTTACAGACTACAGTTAGTAGTCCTGCAATTTCACATTTGAGTTTCTTCAGAACTCTTGGGTGAATACCATCCAGTCCTGGTGACTTATTACTGTTTAATTTATCTATTTGTTCCAAAATCTCCTCTAATAATACCTCAATCTGGGATGGTTCCTCAGATCTGTCACCTAAAAAGAATGGCTTGCGTTTGGGAATCTCCCTCACATCCTCAGCAGTGAAGACCAATGCAAAGAATTCATTTAGTTTCTCTGCAATGGCCTTAAATGAGAGTTAAATGAGTGGGAGTAGCATTGCAGTGTGTACACCTTTGTAGTTAGGTCGACATAAGATGCCTTATTTCGACTGAACTTTGTAGTATAGACAAGGCCTTAGACCTGCCTCAGAACAGGGAACTGGACTAGATGACCAATCAAGGTTAAGTGGCCTGTTAACACTTTGCCAGTCAAACAGGCATTAGTGGGTTACAGACTGTTGCCTCTTATAATTTTAGGTAAAGGGAGTGGGAGTGAGGACTGAGATGCTCTCACT